TTATACAAGACTCGAAACGCTTGGTTTACGTCTACCCGGTGACCGCTGTCAAACAAGTGAACTAAAATCGCACTAGATGTTGACTTTAACTCGCCTCCGTTTAGCCAGGCAGGATGGTGTTCCCGCATGCGCTTGGATAGCCGCCCAATGTAACGTGCCCTACAGGAGCATGTAAAGTTGTAGATATACATTGAAGAGGTCTGGAACGGGAGTCTATCCTTGCCTTCAAGGCGAAGAAGCGGAGTGCTTGAAAATACTAATCTTAACCTAGCTGCTGGATACGTACACGCGATTGCAGCGTTCAAGCGAAGATGTAGAAATTTGCTTGCTGGATCCCCTTGAAATGGCAATGTAAGAAATAAGATTTCCTTCTCAGCCATCGCTATTTCCGATTTCGGTGGACGTTCTTCCATGAACTTATTGATGAACTTCTCAGGAAATCCATTTTCTTGTGGGATGTTTTTGATGAGTACGAGTTCTTTCTCCAGTGCCTCTGGAGAACATATTCTCCTGGCTCGGTTCGTGAGGCAGCGGACTAGGCCTCGTTTCTAACTTAGTGGCACGAAACTGTAGAAATTCGTGTCCAAGTTTTCTTGCGAAATACGCCTCTATTTATTTTTTCCGTCCCTTAGTTACCGCTGATTGGTTGCTTAAACTTTTGCCAATTCTACCCCTTTATATTATTGTACATGCCTGATGATGAATTAATCGAAAACGTCCGTTCGCCTATCTTGACTTCCTGAAAAATTACGAATCATGGTCGGAAATTTTACGTGCTTGCGTCAGTGTTCTCCCCCTTAAGTCCCCTAAGTTGTTTACGGCTGCATTGAGACCTAGAAACTCACTACTCCCACCTAATGGTTAGAGCGTTGGACTTCTGATCAAAAGGTTGCGGGTTCCAGCCTCGGGTGGTGCATCACTTGTAGTCGGGTATAACTAGCTGACGACTGCTAATGAGCTAAAAATGGCCATTCCAGTCCCCTCGTCTTTGCCGGCAACGCTCATTTGCCTAAACTGCTAGCCACTGCGCGGCTGCTGGCGGGGCTCAAGAGTGAACCTGGAGGTACAACTTCACGAGTAAGTTCTTTTAGCACTCGGTGAAAGTTCGTCAAAATTCATCAGTTTTTTTCTTGAACTAACCCAACAGAAGAGCAAGATTATCGAACCTACATACTAGCCAAGAATGCATACGATGAGTGGGGGGAGTGCTCAGAGTCCAGTGGTTGAAGCCTCGGACATCGTCTGTGTATAAACTACTGCCCGGTGTCCGAAGTAAAGAACATTCTGGCTCCATGGGCTGACACCAGCATACGGTAAGAATTGCTTCCATGGCCCCCCGGTGGAAAAGGGAAAAGGAACCATCCGTAATATAGGTGACAGAGCACGTAAATTCCAAGTGGGAGCAAAGTTAGGGTTAAGCTTGGGATTAAGTCAAATGAAAGGTAAGAGGTGAGAAAAGAAATCGCCCAAATGGCAGGTGGTTTTGTACCAAATTCCGGGAAAATCAGGGGTAGGTTTAAGGTTAGGGTCGGAGTAAGAGTCAGGTTTTAGGTTATTGTCAACTGCAGGGTTAGCGTCTAGGGTAGGGTTAAGGTTTGGGCTCCGGTTTGGGTTTACGTTAAGCCTAGTGTTAGGGTTATGACACGAGAATATTTATCATCCCTGGAATTACAAGTCTCGGTGTTTTTAATATTTCCGTGTCCTGTCGCGGAACGATATTAGTACAGTGGAGTATCGGGTGACGAGCAGCCCCATCTACAAGCATTTCAGGTAACGAGTAAG